GTGTCAAGTGTACACGCACCATGCTTGAATGTCCCGCCCTCCCGACCCGACCCGCCCGTTAGGGTCCGCCCGACCTGGCCCGACCCGCCCGTTAGGGTCCGCCCGCCCGACCCGACCCGACCCGCCCGTTAGGGTCTCCCGCGCGCGCGCGCGGCCGCCGCCTCTTTGCTAAGCGCTTGCTCCCAGGCTTGCTATGGTATGCTATGCTATGCTACAACCACGGTATAACATGAGAGGAGAGATGATCTTTATGTGGGGGTGGAGATGCGGGGGGGATTGATAGCCACCGCAGGTGAGTGCCTATGCAGGTAGGTATTCCTGGCCTTGCCCTGTTAGACCCTACACCCTAAACCCTAAACCCTGAAACCTGAACCCTGAACCCTAACCCTAACCCCAACCCCAACCCCAACCCTAACCCTAACCCTAACCCTAACCCTAACCCTAACCCTAACCCTTAACCCTTAACCCTTAACCCTTAACCCTTAACCCTTAACCCTTAACCCTTAACTCCCTAACCCTAACCCTAACCCTAACCCTAACCCTAACCCTAACCCTAACCCTCGCCCTAGCCCTAGCCCTAGCCCTAGCCCTAACCAAAACCCCAAACCCCAAACCCCAAACCCCAAACCCTAACCCTAACCCTAAGCCTAACCCTAAACTGCAAGCCATGGGCGGTGCAACGTTCGTAGCCCGTGGTGCCTGGCCGAGCGCTCAGCGAGCCTGCCCAATACAGCGAACGCCGCACCGACGAAGCGCGCAGCGCTGAGGAGGCATTCGCTCGCCGCGCGTATGCGGCCGCCGCTTGTTCGAGAGATGAATAGAACCCTTAACCCTAGGCCCAGCCAGTGGCTTCGCTGCGCTTGGTCCCATCCCCTGGGGCTCGAAACTTACGAAAATACAGCATGCGGCGCCCTTTTGGCCGTCCGTGGGGCTGCAAACCATATGAAAATACAGCATGCGGCGTCCTTTCGGCTGGCGCACGTCCCAGGCGCTCCCAAGCGCTCCCAGGCGCTTCCAGGCGCTGCCAGGCGCTCCCAAGCGCTCCCAGGCGCTCCCAAGCGCTCCCAAGCGCTCCGAAGCGCTCCCAGGCGCTCCCAAGCGTTCCCAGGCGCTCCCCAGCGCTCCCAAGCGTTCCCAAGCGCTCCCCGGCCCTGTCGGCACGCTCCCAAGCGCTCCCAAGCGCTCCCAGGCGCATGGCGCTCCCAGGCGCTCTCAGGCGCTCCCGGCACGCTCCCAGGCGCTCCCTGGCGCTCCCAGGTACTCCCAAGCGCTCCCTGCACGCTCCCAGGCGCTCCCAGCCTGCTCAGGCGTTCCCTGCGCGCTCCCAAGCGCTCCCTGGCGCCTCCGAGCGCTCCGGGGCGCTCCGAAGCACTCCCAGGCGCTCCAGCGCGCTCCCAGGGGCTCCCGGCACGCTCCCAGCACGCTCCCAAGCGCTCCCAGGCGTCCCCATGCGCTCCCAAGCGCTCCCAGGTGGTCCCAAGCGCCCCACGGCGTTCCCAAGCGCGCTTAAGCAGTCCAAGCGGTTCCATGGCGCTCCCAAGCGTTTCCACGCATTCGCAAGCGTTCGGCAGCGCTCCCTGGCGGCGCTTCCTGGCGCTCCCCCGCAATGCAGGTGCTGCCGCAGCCATGCGCGCGCATTGTAGCGAGGGGGTGACCCCCCCACCTACCTCGTATTCCGGCCGATAGCGACCCAATCCGGGACCTCCCATCCGGACTCTAAAAAATCGATACAAAGTGGCCGTTTTTCTTCTCAACATCGTCTTTCTTGTCGTCGACGATGCGAAAAGCGTGGCAGGAATGGGACGCGGCGCGCATCGCGCGCGGTAGTCAATCTGGGCCCGCCCATCCTGACTGAAAAAAATAAATACGAAGTCTTCGTTTTTTCGTCTCAGCATGCCCTGCCTTGTCGCCGACGGTGCGAAATATGTGGCAACAACGGGACGCGGCGCGCATATGGGACGCGGCGCACATCGCGCGCGGCTGTCAATGCGGGCCCGTCCATCCTGATTGTACAATATCAAAACAAAGTTTTCGCTTTTTCCTCTCAGCATGGCCTGCCTTGTCGCCGACGGTGCGAAATATGTGGCAGGAATGGGACGCGGCGCGCATCGCGCGCGGACGTCCATGCGGGCCGCGGGCCCTCCCATCCTGTCTGTAAAAAACAATACAGAGTTGCCGTTTTTCCTTTCATCATGGCCTGTCTTGTCGTCGACGATGCGAAATGCGTGGCAGGAATGGGGCGCGGCGCACATCGCGCGCGGACTTCTGGGGCAACCCCAAGGCGGGAGTGGCCACCTTACTTACTTGTCAGAAGCAATGCCATGCTGATTTTCCCTGCCCACATAGCTAGCTGTTCTTGTCGCCCACCCCGCAAAAGTGCATGGCAAGAATTGGGCGCGGCACGCCCCCCCCCCGCTAGAAGTGAATGAAATGATCTTCCCGCTTGGGCGCCGAGCGAAATTTTATCAAAGTTGCGCTCCCGCTTTGGCTCGGCGCACGT